TTACCTTAACATGGGATGTTCCTGTGTGATAGACAGAAAAGTCAAAGTGGGAAGAACAGAAGAAAAACGAAGAGGAGGATATGACCAAGCTACTGAAAGAAAATGATCAATTCAACCTTCAAATTTCTGTGCTAAGGCAGGAGCTGGAGACAACGAGAAAAGCGTATGAACAGCAATGCTCGCAAATGGAAAGCCAAACAATGGTCGCTACAACAGGACTGGAGAGCAGGCTGAAGGAACTTGAACAAGAGGGAAAAGTGGTAAACACTGCAAAAAATGCCCTTGAGGAAAGGGTAAAAGAACTTGAACAAATGGGAATAAAAGCACATACTGCTAAAAATGCTCTTGAGGAAAAGATGAAACAGCTTCAACAAATGGAAAAAGAAACAAAAATTGCTAATACAAGCCTTGAAGGAAAGATTCAAGAGCTTGAACAAAACCTTGTAAACTGGAAGACTAAAGTCAGAGAAATGGAGCAAAAGTCTGAGTCTAACCACCAAAGTTGGAGTCAGAAAGAACTTTCCTATAGAAGCTTTATTGATAACCAGTCTCAGGCACTACTGGTATGTTCATACATACTGTGCTAAAATAATCGTTTTATATTCGATGATAGTTGGCTAATTATGCTGAATCCCAGGAGTTGAGGTTCTATTCAAGATCCATCAAGCAAGAAATATTGAAGGTTCAAGAGAACTATACAGAACAGTTCAGCCAATTAGGTGAGAATGATCTAACTGATGCTTCTGAAGTCATGATAAACTTTCCATGACCTTGCTATTTTTGTAGTGTTTATAAATTAAAATTTGTCTCTTCAGGAAAGAAACTGATTGAACTTAGCAATGCTGCGGAAAACTATCACGCCGTACTAACTGAAAACCGGAAGCTTTTCAACGAGCTTCAGGAGCTAAAAGGTACTGAGGATCATGTTAAATATTTGTTCAGATGTGTAGATTTTCAAATTTTATGCAGCCCATAAAATCTATAGTTATGACTTGCAGGAAACATCAGAGTGTTTTGCCGGGTGAGGCCTTTCCTTCCTGGACAGGGTGCACCAAATACAGTGGTCGAGTATGTCGGTGAGGATGGAGAACTGGTAGTTACCAATCCAACTAGACCAGGGAAAGACGGTCTTCGCCAGTTTAAGTTCAACAAGGTGTATAGTCCAACTGCTACACAAGGTGTGTTCATCTGTTACCAGTTCTGTTATATATCCTTATGCTTTTCATTTCTGTTTTGTGTGATCTATGTGAGAATGCATGGTACATCTCGAGACATAATATTATATTGATATCACCAAGTTCATTCGATATTTTGGATTCTTGCAGCTGAGGTCTTTTCAGACATAAGACCGCTGGTTAGGTCAGTTCTTGATGGGTACAATGTTTGTATATTTGCATATGGCCAGACAGGATCAGGGAAAACTTATACAATGGTATGTTTTCATTGTTTTTTTCTGAGTAAGATTTCATAGGAATTGATGCGCTTTTACCTTCATTCCCTTTTTTTCAGAGTGGTCCAGATGGATCAAGTGAAGAGGACTGGGGAGTTAATTATCGTGCCCTCAATGATCTCTTTAAAATCTCTCAATCCAGAAAGGGAAACATATCATATGAAGTCGGGGTGCAAATGGTGGAGATATACAATGAACAAGTGCTCGATCTACTATCGGATGACAATTCTCAAAAGAAATATCCTTTTGTTTTAAATCCTGGTTTTGTCTATTTGTTTTTTCATTGCTAGCGTTAGTGTAGCCATTCTTTTTGTTTTCCTTGACCTGCACACACTAGGGATCCTTTCTACAACTCAGCAAAATGGCCTGGCTGTGCCTGACGCAAGCATGTATCCTGTGACATCAACTTCAGATGTGATTACATTGATGGACATTGGACTACAAAATCGAGCCGTTGGTTCTACTGCCTTGAATGAAAGAAGTAGTCGCTCCCACAGGTTCTTCTTCATATTTATCCCTTGGAACAAACAAAAAAGAGTGTTTTCAACAGCCCTAAATGTTGTTAAACTGAATTTATATGTTTTCTTATGCAGCATTGTCACTGTTCACGTTCGCGGCAAAGATTTAAAGACCGGTTCTGTGCTATATGGTAATCTTCATTTGGTGGACTTGGCAGGAAGTGAGAGAGTAGATCGCTCTGAAGTTACAGGAGACAGACTAAGAGAAGCACAACATATAAACAAATCGCTCTCATCTCTTGGAGATGTGATATTCTCTCTCGCTTCAAAGAGTTCCCATGTACCATACAGAAACAGCAAGCTAACACAGCTCCTCCAAACCTCTCTTGGTTAGTGAAATTCATCTATAATACCACATTCATGAATAAGAAATATCATAACTTCTGTTTCTACGCGTTGTGGCTTATAGGAGGACGAGCAAAGACGCTAATGTTTGTGCAACTCAACCCTGACGCTACTTCATACTCAGAGTCAATGAGTACCTTGAAATTTGCAGAGCGTGTCTCTGGAGTCGAACTTGGTGCAGCAAAGACCAGTAAAGAAGGTAAAGACGTTCGAGACTTAATGGAACAGGTAAATAGACACACTTTCTCTCCTCTGTCTCTCGCTCTTATCTCTCTTACCATCAACTCAAAGATACAATGAATCATTTGTTGTTTTTACAGTTAGCGTCCCTTAAGGACACCATAGCGAGAAAAGACGAAGAGATAGAGAGACTTCATCTGGCAAAAGACACTCAGCATCATACTCAGAGACTTCAGAAACCCATGATGAGAAGAAAAAGCATAGGACATACCGATGACATAAACTCAGATACAGGAGAATATTCATCACAACAATCAAGATACTCTGTTACTGACGGCGAGAGTTTAGCATCCTCTGCCGAGGCAGAGTACGATGAGAGACTAAGCGAGATTACGTCTGATGCTGCATCTATCGGAACACAAGGATCCATGGATGTTACAAAAAGACCACCCAGAATTTCAGACAGGTTTAAAACCACATCATGTTGTTGTTATAATTGTTGTTTTAAGAGAACTTTTTCTTCTTCTAACGTTAAAAGTCGGATTCAATTTCAGAGCTAAGTCAATTACTGCAAGATCATCTACGAGTGTAACACGACCACTCGATAAGCTACGGAAAGCCGCTACAAGAACAACATCGACCGTTGCTAAGGTCACGGGGTTGACATCATCAAGTAAAGGCTTAGCGTCATCAAGTAAGCAAACTTAGAACTTATTCGATTTGAAGATTTTTTGAGTATGGATTAGTGTAAATATTGTGTTTAATTTAATTATTAAGAGTTTTGTCTAATTGATAATGTTTTTGCAGGCATTAAGAAGACGGGAAGTACTTCAAGTTTGGCAAAGTCTTCAAAACGGTGGGCGTAAATAACGCTTTTTACTCCTAGCCGCCCATACATTACACGTAACACTGCAAATATCATTTTTTCTTTTTTTTTGTTTTACAACACTTTACGTACGTTCTCTTAATTTATTTCCTCTAACATATGGCTTCGATTGGGACTAGAAGTTTTGCAAAATTTTGTAAATACATGAATCTTATTATTCTCATCACGGCTTCTCTTTATTGAGTTCTCTTTTCTCAACATATTTTTTAGGGTAAGGTCGGTAATTTATAGATTCAATTCACAAGACTGTGCAATTATATTCAGCTATTTTGTGATTCCGTAAATTTAATAAAACAAATAATGTATTCCACAACATTTTATTTTGTTATATTACCAATCACATGCAACCAAAAAAAATCCATTCCCATCATAAGTGTGGAACAAATAATTTGATTTTTCCTCCTTAAAAGTATATACCTAATGTTGTGATTCCTTGAGTGTATGACTCACCTAACTTCCTAATAAAGCCTGAAACTTAATTAACTAAGAAACTAAAAAGTAGAAAGATATAGAGAGCAAGAAAAGGAAAAACAAAGAGAAAGTATAAAGTATAAAGAACTAAAGCAATCTACAGTATATCCCTATCTAAAAACTTTATGGTACTCTTTATTTGGTGGGTTTTGTCTAAAAGATCTCCTACAATTTTTTTTTTTTTTTTTTTTTTGGACAAAAAAAGATCTCCTACAATATGAGGTGTAAAAACAGGAAAAAAAAGAAGAAGAAGAAGAAGGATGTGGGTGGGGAAAGAATAAAGGGTATATTCAGAGATTAGATTGAAATAGTGGGGTCAATGTGGAGGAAAGAAAAGTGGAGTGGAATCTCTTTGAAGCACCTTTCCACCTTGAATAATCTTAACTTTGCTCATCTTCTCTTCACACCAATGCAAATTCTCTTCGTTCATTTCATTCATTCTCAATACTCTTGACACCACTTTCAAGTCTATTAGACCCATCAATATCTCCATTTCTTCCTCTATACTCATCTTCTTCTTCCTCATGTATTTTCCTCCTCGACGCATCTCTTTCAGCTTCGTCTTTTTCTGTTCACAATTATATATCAACATACTGTTGGTTAAGATTAGACTCTTCACAAAGAAAAAGAGTAAAGCCATTATTTAATATATAATGATAAAATTTGGAAAACTTAGCAATATGAATTATACCGGATTTGGTGACACAACATTGATGCTAATAAAAACCACTACACTACATGTCTTGGTTAAGTATGACTATTTTTATTTTTATTTTTTAGAAGTGAGTCATAAAGTAGTGAAAAATGTGGAAGTTGAAATATATATTGACCTTTTTGTTGACTTTTTTCATGAGATGGACAAGGGTTGGATCAACGGAGCCTCGTTTACTTCTCCCAAAAAAGGCTTTGAGGATCTTTTGACAAGGCTTCTCTTTATCCGCTTTGAGAAAATTCATGAATGTTCTTATGCATTCCTCCATTATCATCAAGAACGATGCTGACGATATCCTCGACCTGAAACCCTCCTCTTTCTCTTCTTCTTTCTCATCCTCCTCATAATCTACATATCCAAACGAATGAATACATTACCGAATCTATACCCTCGAATAATGACCGCATATACAAACATATACTCTCAAAGCTTACTTAATTACCTTGGTATTCAGGAACAAGAAGCAATTTAGGAGCAAGAGTTCGCATTCGGGCATAAATCTCTGCTCTTCTTCCATGTTCATAAGGCTCATTCTCCACGTATCTTTGTAATAGAATATGAAACGTACGGAACTGGTCGGCGATGCCGGCCGGACATCCGACGTCGTTGAAGCTTCGTAGCCTGGATGATCTTTTTCTCTCGAAGTTTTTGTAGTTCCAACTTAGAGCTTCCCATGTTAGACATATCTGTGCCACGTAAGCTGATTCTAGTTCCACGTACGGGTTTGGTCTCGACCCATTGCCACCAGGATAACGTTGTTGTTTTTTCTTGTGTGATCCATTTGATGATAACTTGTGAACGATCCTCTCCGAGATCGATCTTGGCTCCACCATGATTGACTTTAACGATTCTGTGTGTGAATGGACAAAAATTAGAAAATACAAACCAAAATCTATATATTGATAAACACTCATTCGTGCATGATTCTTGAAATACATATATCTATTGTATAATATATGATGATTTTCACCTGTTTCGTGAAGCTTTTGAGCAGTGATTCTACTGAGAAAAGTCATTTCTTCGTCGTACTTTTGGAAGACGGTGTAAGATTCCCATTTGGGGCAACTCCGGCGAGAGGAAGTTGAGAAAGGGTCGTCAGTTTTGACAGAGTTTCTCCATTCTGATGAGCTTTTTGACGTTGACCCATTCGTGTATGACTCTCCGAATATCTCTCCTCTCTCTTCTTCTTCCTCTTCCTCTAATTCCTCTGCTTTGATCTCTCTCATGGAAAACCCCGATGATGGCTGTATCTCGTCAACATCATTCTTGATTCCTCCATTAGACACAAGCTCTCCTGCTATCCAAACAGCAAACAAATCCAAGTACGGTTTAGCTCAACCGGTTTCACATTGTTTTGTTTGTCATGTGTATAATATTCATCAAAAGTATCATGATAAGTGAATATACTAGTACATAATAATTAAATTTGGATATAAGACTTGTCGTTTCAGATTTTTATTTCATTGTTTATTCAAAAATCAAGGAAACCGTGTTAACTTTGGTTACTTGTAGAAAGAAAGAAAACAACTTTTGATTTGCATGTGAAGAAAGAAAAATAAACATGTGAAGAGATGAGCTAGGAGGAGAAATCATAATACCATTGTAGCTTTTGTCATTGAACACCAAACCACTTTGGAAACGAGAGGGACCACGAGTACTAGTATTAGTATTTGGTTGCTTACGAACCAAATCCTCAACGACGTCGTATCGTGACACTCCTCCTACCTCTTCATCTTCGTCATCATCATCATAACGATCGTCAGGAAGATCTTCAACGCCATCATCTTCCTCTTCTATTGATGATTCGCTGCGATAAGGAGAAACATTGGCAGAAGAAAAGTGTTCCTCCGTAGAAGAAGTGTTGGAATCTTGATCATCTTCTTCTTCGTGTTCATGAGTTTGATAGACATTATTGAACTCCTCCTTCATGTGTTGAGTACATAGTCCATCTTGAGAGTTATTATTGTAAAACATTAAAGATTCTCCGTCGTCTCCTATATCAGCTATCAAATCTGGATTTTGATCTCTAGATATCACATGGTAACTTGTGTTACACGACATCTTGAATTCTTTCCCTTCTTCTTCCTCTTCCTCTTCCTCTTCCTCCTCTTCTTCATCTTCGGAATACCACCCCGCCGAATCATATTCATATTCATTCCTACATAATAAGAAATTAATTAAGCTATATATTATGATTTGTCCCAACTGAGAACAATATTTACTATATGAAAAACTCATCAAAAAGCGGCCACTTATTTTCTTTTTAGCTATATATATGCTAACGTTCGGTAACACGTAAATAGATATGAAACTACTCTGCTAACCAATGTAGAATTTAAAAGATTTTCAGTATAAAACTCACCAATAGCCCATAATTTTGTTTAAAGTATATGCTAAAATCCGAAAACAAGGAAAAATGAAACTATATATTTATCATATGTATATACGTGTATAGATAGAGACCTTTGGAGGAGAGGGTAGCCGCCGATGAAGTGGAGGAGCTTGAGGAGGAGGGAGACGGCGGAGTAGAGGAGGAGGAGGAGGAGAAAGAAAGATGTAGAGACATTGATGAAGAGACTTGCTAATGCTTCTTCATTTGTATAACATTGCATTTTAATTAAATCTCTTTTTTCTCTCTTTCTTTTATCTTTTTCTATCTTTCTTCTTCTTCCTATCAAATGGAGAGAGAGAGAGACTTCCTCGGCTACAAAATCAAAAGCAAAGTTTGTGGTTTTACCAAAAAAAAAAAATATAAAGTGGTTGAGTTGAGTGCTTCTCTCTTTTTTTTTTTTTAATCTCTACCTTTTGGTTATTAATTTAAATCTTTTAATTGTTTCAATACATGTTTATAAATGTGGACTTCTTATAATTTCCTTGAGACAAGATTATACGCCTACTCATTCTTTAAAGGGCATGCTGAAATTATACCAAGTGCCAAGTTTAAAGATTATTGACTCCCTTGAAATATATAACCCATATGAATATCTCATAATCATTTGATAATACTTATGAATAACAGAACATGTGGAAGAGGAGTGTAGAGGAAGACTCTATTTTTACCTGAAAGAATAAAAATAAAGTTGATGATGTTTACCGACTTACTAAAGGCAAGAATCCAATATATATTGTATATTATGGATCATGAAATATATAAAACTATCGCGTAAGAAAAATATGGATGGAGACAAAAATAAAAGAAGATCTCTGGAGCAACAAGAAAGTGAAGAGGCCAAAACCGTGTCACACGCTTCTCTAATGTAAGTAAACTTGTGTTTATAAGCTTTTGCTTTTCCAAAAGATATATTATACAATATACATGCATGTTACGTGTACAATTAACATGGTACATGTAAAGAAACATTTTCAATAAATTTCATATAAATAAATTTAACGTGCATATCTAATGCATGTCTATATTTTATAGTTTTGATTTGTTTTGAGAAAAATGGTATATTTTTGATCAAAAAGAGAGTTAGAAGAGAGTTGATCTGCCATAGACTAATAATAATAAGTCTAGAATTTTAAATGGGCCGGGTTTAGTCGTTTTTATACTAAATGGGCCCGTATTATACTAGGCCGAGTTTTGTTATCGAGTACAAATCTTGTGTTGCGTCCTTAACATTCAGGTTAATCTCGGTAGCGATTACCGACGAGAACCATGGCGGGTAAGCAGATCGGCGGAGATGGCGGTTTACCGGCAAATCTCGCCGGAATGACGAAAAGTCAGCTCTACGACATCATGTCTCAAATGAAGGTTCTCTCTTCTTTCTTTTCTCTACCCTCCGATTATCAGCTACAACTCTAATCCTTTACGGATTTGAATAGAGAACAATTGGTTTCTTCTTTTTTTTTTTTTTTTTCGAATTCTGTTTTTGATGAGTAGAATCTAATGGTGCAGACGTTGATTGATCAAAACCATCAACAAGCGAGGGAGATTCTGATTCGGAATCCTCTTTTGACCAAGGCTCTTTTTCAGGTTCTTCTTCACTTCCCTAATCTTTTCCTAAAAATCTGCTATTCGTGCGGTCTTATAAGCAATGAGGAATTCTGATTTGGAGCTTCTTACTTGAGTATTCTGATTAGACTAGTTTGGGTTCAGTATTGTTTAAGAAGCAGTTAGGTTAAATATTAGGGTTTTGGGTCGTTTCCAGATATGAACAATGTTTAGGTTTATGCCTGTTTCAAAAAATTCATTTACTGATAGATTTCAGAATTTGTTTGTTGAAATGCCAGGCACAAATCATGCTCGGAATGGTTCAGCCTCCGCAACTGGTATGTACTTGTATCTTTGAATACTTCTTAAGTCATTTTTGTTTATAGATTGATCTTAAATTTTACAAATCTGTTTATTTAGACTCCCAAAGTTGAACCACAAGCTATGCAACAGCCTCAACAATCTCATCAACCTATACCTCTAAAGCCAAACGTTCAAGCTCATATGTCCTCTATCCAAGGTGGAGGCAGTGTACATGAGCCAGCTAATACGATGCAGCCACAAGCCCCGATTCGAAAACACCCAACACCACAACCAATGCCTATGCCTCCTCCGCCTTCTGTTTCTGCAACCAATACTGCTCTACCACAGCCTCGTTTTTCGCATCCCCAGCGTCAGGGACATCTGAATCCTACTGTCACTTCTATGTCTCATCAACAGTCTTCTCAAGTTCAAAACGCGCCTCCTCCCGCTCCCCATCATCCAACATCCCAGCCACCTCCTTTTCATCATCTTGATATACCAGCTTCCTCCACTCAGTTGCAGCAACAACCAATGCACTCGGGTGGAGGTCCTCATTTGCCACAGCAACAGCCTAGACCATATCATCATCAATATGGACAAGCCCAAACTGGTCCAAACACTGGGTTTCAGCACCATGGCGCACCTCCTCAGCATCTTTCTCAACCCATGTTTCATGTGAGTCAGAGTTATGAGTAGCTATTATCGGTTATCTTTTATTTCCGTCATTGTAAATTTCAAAGTTTTTGACTGACTAAAACTCGTTATTTGAGCCAATTTTGCAGTCAGGCAACAGACCCCCTGCTTCTGGTGTACCTCAATTCCCACAGGGACAGCAACATCTGCCTAGTCAGCCAACATATCAGGTATTTATACTCTTACTTTTCTTGTACCTTTAGGCAATATGTTCGGTAGTTTTGCAGATTGACTATGGAAATTATGCTGCTTTATGTCTGTGTTTTCTTCCGAGCGCTACACCTTCAAGTAGATTCACCCTTTAATGAGAATTCTTTCCAACATCTTTCATTGTTATTCTTAATCAGATATGAGAAATTATTTCTTCTGGCGTTAATTCTTCTCATCTTTTTTCATTGTCAAGTTGTTATCCTATTTCTAGTTCTGATTCCGTTAAAATCATGTTTCTGCTTAAGATAGAATAAATCATCTAATGGAAAGTGGAAACTGTACAGATTTTTAGTTTTGCTTTTGGGTCTCACTGCTTGTAATCTTGTTTATTGTTTCAGGGAGGAGGTCAATATCGTGGAGACTACAACAATAACCAATTAGCAGGTCTGATGGCTCAAGACAGAGGTCCTTCTTGGATGGCTGGCCACTCAGAGAGCTCAAACATTACTCATCTCCCAGGTTTAGGACCGGTGCCTCCACCAAGCCAAGTTGGGCCTGGAGGTGGCCAACCACCTCGCCCTGCACCGGTAATTTATCTTTCAACTGCAAGACATCGGCATTGTATCGCTATTGCTGCTTGGATGTATATTCATGTCGATGATTGTGTAGTCCCAAATCAATCGGATTCAACGTTCCTTTCCAGTAGATGTTGTAGTTGTGTCTTTTGCCGGAATCCGAAATGAGAATTTCTGATTACAGAGCAAAAAACTTTTGTCATTTTTGCTGATGATAATGTTTTTCTTATTTGTCCAGATATCTGCAGAGATGGAGAAGGCATTACTTCAACAGGTGATGAGCCTAACGCCAGAGCAGATCAATCTGCTGCCACCAGAACAGAGAAACCAAGTCCTTCAGCTTCAACAGATTCTCCGACAGTGAAGCTCATTGATATGATCGCTTGGTCTCCATGTTAGAACATTAGAAGAGACAGGTTTTGGCTTTGAATGTAATCGGAGTTAAGTTTGGGATAATTTGTAAAAAGAAAAAAAAAAGTAATTAGATTTTTTCCAAAGTTCAAGGTGTCACTTAATACTTTTGGTCATATCCCCTGGAGAAAATTCATGTGTTCTCTTTGATTTAATGTTCGGTAACAATTTTTTTCCTGCCTTTCAAAGTTCCGATGTCTTGTTTACAGTTGTTTTGCTGACTTTTTTTTTTAAAGTTTTTGACTAAGAAAAAGATACTATTATTTGAAGAAAATTGTGATGTCATACAAGTATTTGATCACAAATTTCTAAGGGAAAATATTATTTTTTGCTTTATCCAAAAAATGGTATGGAAGCATGTTTCTGGTGTTGTACTGTTAATAGTTTATTACAATTGTTTTAGTAGATATGTTAAAATATTAAGAAAGTATTAAGAATGCTTAAAAAGTGGAATTGAAGATTTTGTGGGTTATCTTAACTCTTAACACTTAAGACTTCAGAGATTTGAGGAGCTAACAACTCCTCCACATTCAAATGGAGTCACTTCCAAAATTTTGGTGGTTGGTGGTTCCCACAATGTTTTTGGATCCTTGAACTTGCCCATTTTTGTTCTCTGCCACCAAATGATGTGATCACTAAATCTATTAATAGAATACTTGTTGGTCCCAAATATTTATTTGTTTCCCAAAACTATCCCCTTCAACAACATATTGAATTATTTTTCATTTTTTGAATAATATGTTAACCATTTTGTTCTAAGGTTTAACCATGAAAGAGAATCTCTAAACTTATATATATTAGAAAGCTTGGATTCTTTGATATATGTTGATCATTTTCAATATGTAAATCAACTTTTTCAAAAGACCATGTTGTAATAAAAGTAGTATTACTGTAGAACTAGAAACAATCAACCACTATGCAATTGTAACTATTCAAAATTAGGTATTTTATAACTTATTTTTATATAAATATATGCAATAAGACGGAGATGAATAAAAAGCCCCACATATTTTCCATCTTCTTTAGGGCATGTAATGGTCCATTTCAAGCTGTCCTCCCTAGTTTCATGGATGCATACATTGCATCTAATTTCTCTTTTTATTTTCCCTTATTAAATATATATTTTCCTTATTTTCTATGTTCTAATTTATCTTCTGCTTTCGACTAATTTATTTCCAGACTAATTCATCTTTAAAGCCCTAAATTAACTTGGGCACAACCATTTTGAGAGCAACACATGCCATGGACTTCACTTCCACTTTTTGGAGTTTTCTCTTGTAATTTTGACCATTTATGAGTACTTATCCAAGTGGACGAAAGGGAAATCAAATTTAATATTGGTGATGATACATAAACACTTATAGTAATACAAACTAGTACTGTATTATTATTATTACATGCTAAAAGAAGAATAGATATCTAGAAGTTTCACAAATGTTCTTCACAATCATGTTGATAGTGAATTGGGAACATCAATCACAGTCTATGAAGTATGAAATATGCAACCGTCACTCATGCAATAATTCATTCAAAAAAGGAAAATTAAAAGCTATGTTTAGATAAGTACATAGTCCACAAAAAAAGGAAGAAAAACCTTTGGTTGCTCCACGATTAAACACGTCTTTTCGAAATCCACAACCCACATTCTTCCACAAATTGCATAAAACCTCTCTTTGTCGTTGTGTTTCGTTACGGAGACATACATCATTATGTCTTTCTTTCGATAGTAACAAGTGAAGGGTAGTTTTGTCATTTTTCGTCCACTTCTCCTGAGATGTCCAAGTCCAGTTGTTGTTCGAGTTTATCATCTTTGCTTGTCTTTATTTGACCTCAATCAAAGTTGCTGATGATGCCAATTTTTAATCTATATTGTTGTAAATATAATGTGCAAATCCGAATTTTAAATACTCTTTTCATTTTTCTTAAAACTGAGATTTGATGACTATTGTTTTGGACGTCCAAGGCTTTCCAGCTGTGGCTGATTTGAAACTTTTGATTTCAACTGAAAATTTGAAGAGGTTTTATGTATTTTTTAATATTGCTATATAGTTCTGTGTTTCGGCGTATATAAGGCAGTTTTAAAAAATTATAAAATCATGTTGTCACGCAAACGTAGTATTGAACATTCGAACTTATTGTATACTAATCGTATTTATGTCTGAATCCAGAAAGAGTTTTTAACTAACAAAGCCGAAATAACATTCCTCATTACTATTCTCTAAAGTGTGATTGAGGAGGCTTCCACAACTTCATTTCAAAACGCTTTAAGAATCAATCATATTGTCAAAATTTTTGTGGGAGCTTACTAAAGTTGATGTCAAAAATATGGTTGGGTACACTGACACTCATTCATTGTGGTTCCAATGTTTGCTTGCTCGGTAAAATTTTGATCCTTATGTGTATCCCCACTCTGTTCCGATATCTAGTTGAATGCAATCTCTAGGCAGTATATATATTTGTAATGTCAAAATTACACAGGAATACATATCATATGGCATCGAGATTTCTTGAAATTAATCTTTGAAAGTATATATATATATATATATATTTTATAATCCAAAAGAAGGAGAAAATTAGAAAGACAAAAAAAGGAGAGCAAAAACAAAAGTCAAAGGGTCCATGATGATGAATGGAAGACAGAATTCCCATCCCTCCCTTGCCCCATCTCCACTGCCTCACGTGCCTTTGCCCTCTGCACATTTTAATATGACAATTTAAAATCGTTATTTAAAACATTTAATTAATCACATCAAACCATGTAGTTAAGTTAATTAAGAAATAAATCATAAGCAAACATCATCAGTCGTCTTACTAGAATTTTTTTTAGTTAAAAGTTAAAAGATTCTTGATTATGTACCTGCATGGATTCCACAGCATCAGTCTCCGAGTTAAAGTCATAATACGAACTTGCTGCTGTAAGCTTCATAGATAAAAACTGAGTTCACATAAAAAAAAAAAAGAAGTAAATTAGTATAATTATTGAAACGAATGGAATTGGTAGATAACCTATAATTTCAAAGAAATTAATTGTTATTGTTATACCTCGACTTGATTTTGTAAGGACTGGACGTAATTTATTATCTCATCCAGCATAGTAGCCATTCCCATCGTCTGCATCACCAAATTTCTCATAATTAATATATTTTCTTATAGTCTAAACAAAATAATTTGGTTAAAATTTCTCATAATTAATCACCTTATAACATCCGGGGACTATATCTTGCAAGCATTTCAATCTCTCATTTATTTTCCCTCGTCGAACCTGAAATTTCATATGAAAATATGTTCATTTATGGTTTTGATTTCATTGTATTATTTATTATCAATAATTTCTAAAACCTATATATGTATTAATCATATAATCAATTTTACCCTCTCTGCTATGCTGTGGCTATCAGTGGCTTGGCCTCTTCTGGCTCTTACATGAACAACTTCTCTATCTTTCTCTTCTTCTCTATTTTTCGACCTCTTCCCTCTTCTTGAAGAATTCTGTGATTTGGACAAGAAAAAAAAAAGTTAGAACAATCCATGGAAACTGAGAGTCGTCTAATATATCTATTTATGTGTGTGTGTGTGAAATTAGGGTTTCTAGGTTGACGAAATACATTTTTGGTCAAACTATTTCCATTGAGGGAAACTTGAGCAGAAGAGCTTGAGAGGGTTTGATCAGAGACACTGTTCTCCGACGTAGAAACACCTTCCATTAATGATTTTCTCTTCTTGGTATCGACTCTTGAAGAAGACTTGTCGTTGTTTTGGATATTAGAAGGGAAGAATATCCCTTGGTGAAAATTATTCTCGAGAGGTTTTCCGGGAAAATGATCAGGGAATTGATTATGAAAGAAAAGAGAATCGAGACAAGAAGAGAAAGGAGGAGGAAATGTTTGGAACTGATGAAGAGTGTTGCTCAGTTCTGCTAGTTGTGTTATTGGATCATCATCCATCGTAAATGTCTGAAAATCAGAAGAGAGATTCTTCGCCATTATTGAGATTGATCAGTTTTATAAAAATAAGATTTTTTTTTTTAAAATGGGTGAAAGTAGAAAGTGGCTGTTTTCGAGCGAGTGGCTACGTTTATATGTAGACTACTGTTTTCTTATTATTGTATTTATACATATATATATATATATATTAAAAAATTGGAATAAAAGTGGGGTTAGAAAATAAAAAAGGAGGGCCAATGAAAGTGAGAGTTATGGGATTTTTGTATAGGAGTGGGTCACACATAATTTATCAGGAGATATATCCAAATAGAGAAAGTGGGCCAATGTTTGGTAGCCGGACCAGTGATCACTGTTTAAGCAACTTTTTTCATTATTTCTCAAGGGGGAAGAACTTACTTGAGACCTCAAGTCCTCAACAAAGTATTTATTTCAATTGGATTGGTGCCCTTTTCTACTTTTTTTGTTCTTAATCTTTTGTGATTTGTGACGAACGAACGATTAATCCAATCCTATTATTTTACATTGATCGCATTTGCTATATTGGTTTAAGATTTCATTGGTTATATAGTTTTAATTGTTTTAGCGGTTTAGTATTAAACACTAGGGAAGAACAATAAATATTGGAAATAATTTTACTCAAGAATAGTTTGATCGATGATATTCATGGTTTCAAATAGTAGAATATTTTAATAGTAGCATTTTTAGTTAAATATCTATTTATGTTAAAATGTTGGCTATTTAGGATTTAACTTTTTCTTTGAACAATACTCCCTCCGTATTTTAATAAGTGTCGTTTTAGAATTTTTATTTTTTTGAATTGGATGTCGTTTTCAAATTTCTATACAAAATTTATTATTTTTTAATGTTTTATGATATCATAAAACATTAAAAATTAAAAAAATTTGCATAGAAATTTGAAAACGACATCTAATTTTTAAAAAAAGAAAATCCTAAAACGACACTTATTAAAATACGGAGGGAGTATGAATTATGCGGATTTAAATCCTAGTTAAGACATTTCGACGACATTGCCACAAACTAGTAGCAGAGTATATGTCATGACGTATAATCTATACTTAACATAACTTAGGTCTACGTTGAAACTTAAAATGTGGTATATGTTGAAACTTAAAAAGGTCGAACTCTAATCAATGTAAGTTCGTTTAACGTTGGTTTGGTTTCTCTAGACTTCTGAGCGAAAACGTTTATCTTTCTGGGGTTTTACTATAGAGTTAGGTTCCTATCAAATTAAGTAAATTAATTGATCGAACCTATCACCATACCCATTTTCAACTGATCAAATCACATGCAAATTACATATGCATTCAAGACTCTATCTAACTTGTTGTTTTGACCTCCATGCATTGTTATTTTTAGTACACTTAAAATTTTGACACACCGGAAGTATTGATAACAAGCATAAATGGTCAAATCTTTTGAATACTTGTTCGCCAATCTATTTAAACCCCTTGATTTATATATATACAACTCCTTGAATTTCCTAATAATTTTTGGAACAGACCAGACCACATATATAAGATTTTTGAGTAGTCTTAATCCTAATAGGGTTGCACAAGGATAACAGCCAATTCAAAGTTCAAAATATGAATCTATTTTGATTTACAACTAAAACAAAAAACAAAACCCACTTGAAGAAAGAAATCCAAAAACGACATAACTGAAGAAAACAGTAACGGAATACAAGATGTATGCTACATATCAAACTCTACATAACATACCAGGGCCGACCATGAGTGTTACTGGGTCTAAAAAACAAAAACAAAAATATCGTTTACAAACATAATTGTAAGAAAAAATGTCCAAAGTTTTGCAAACTTGAGACCATAAAACAAAAAGAGCAGTAACTATACAATTCAAAAGATTTTTACTAAAAAGTGTTTCTCTTCCATTTTAAATAATTTCGAGGTTTACTAGTTTGCTAAGTTTTAGGCATGTACCGGACTTGTAGCATACTGGTTCTGTTTTTATTCAGGTTGGTAGTTGCCTAGTTGGGTTATTTCTGACGAAATATAAACAAAGATGTGAATCTATCATCTAAATTTCATTAGTGGTGTGGTGGCAGTGGTGCATACATATATTGGAGTATATTCTATTGTATCTTATAAACTTTTAGAATATCTTAATTAACAAAACAAAACTTCATATTTTCATACACGGTTTCTATATTTTCATAATTTAGGTTTCCTTTCTAGTACATCTCATTTTGTATGAATACTTATTGTTACACACATGATCCACCCAATCGAAGAAATCAACAAATAGAACGCAACCAATAAAACGATATCACATATATAACAAGATAAGACCACATAGCTTAGTTTTGGTTTTAGAAGAAAACTCTGATAAAAGAAACAGGTAGTTAGACACTTAGACTTGTTTGCTTGTGAAACTAAACTTCCTTTGTTCAGTTATCTTTTCTAAGAAAACAAAAAGTCATATAGTCAGTAATTAGGTTGGTGTCAAACTGTTCCTCTTGAGGAAGATGGAACTTGAAAGCTGAAATTACCGTACCCATAAAAGTCTATTACTCTGAAAGACATATCACCTAGGTTGCCTAAATCAGCTCCGCTAAATAAGACTCGATTACACAAAATTAAGCTACTGAAAAAAACGTTAAATAAACATAAAGTTCGAAAAACATATTTTCTTTAATTTTGTTGCTAATTCATATCAGAATATATTAAGATCTCAAATATAACGATCCATAGACATATGACATAAAAGGTCCTCTTCTTTGTCTCTCTATAATATACACGTAAATATGGGTGCATTTACATGTTTTGTTCATCTTCCTTCGGCGAAGGAAGACATGGAGATGGAGTTCCTCGAGTGCTCCTCAACGATGCTATCCTGTCCAGCCGCTCCTCCTCCACTACTTCTTCTACTCTTAAAACTGTTTGGTTCGCTTCCGTTTAATCCAAAAGTTCTTGAACCGGCTCCTGTACCGGCCCCGGTACTTGTATAGCCGCCTCCTCTACGACCTTGGAGTCCAGGCCGACCGGGTTTAGGCAAATCAAATGAATCGCTCGACAACATTTGATGAACCGTGTTTATATCCGGTCTGTTGGATGTGAACTGCTGGCAACACAGTAATCCTATGATGAAACATGTAGCTGCTTCGTCGCGGTTGTATACTCCTGCTAGAGATTGATCCATCAATTCCAGAATTTTTCCTTCTTGATATATTTTCCACGCCTGTAAGAATATAAATTGGTTATTGAGTTAGACCGGTTTTTTTTTTTTTTTTTTTAAATCAATTACATCTTTGCATTATATGGGTTTAAACCGCGAGGTAGTGACACAACGACGACACTAGGATATATAAACCACTAAGATACATATCCTCGGTATTTTTGTTCAGAGTTAAACAAACCTTTTGTTGGAAAAAATGTTGAATCAGTTTACATACAAGCAGATCAAATGGAAACATGTAGGGGGTGAAGTTTCCATAGTTTAGTACAAAACCATGACACGGGTTGGTAACGAACGTTGAGACTGATTCTAATGGCGACCAAAACTACATAACAAATTAATATAGGGAATGATTCATGAGTCCTTCAGTATGGTATAATTGTGGAAGATCCAACATTAGAAAGATGAGAATGGATCTGATTAGTATATAAGAGACGTGGCCAATTGGTTATGAATTGGAAACCTATGAAACTTAACAATATTGAGGATTAGAACCCAACTATAATGGCAAAATTTATATGTTATGCAAAACCGAACTAGTAAATGTAAAGATTCCAACTTACATAGCTCAAGAGATCAGCCATTTCTGGTCCAAGACGAGGATTTTGGTTCTTTCTTCCGCTAACTATTTCCAAAACCAAGACTCCATAACTAAAAACATCTGACTTGACCGATAAAAGCCCATGCAACGCATACTCAGGAGCCATATAGCCACTGCATCAACATTCACATAAGCCTCTTAAATATACTTATACAACATTCACAATCATTGCATATAAAAAGAAACATTCACAATCATTTTCAAGATAATAGAGATTTGAGATTGTGATGGGATTAGGTGTACTCAGCTACTCACAAAGTACCAGAGATTCTAGAGGTATTGGTATGAGTGCCGTCGCCTGGGAATAACCGGGCCAAACCAAAATCCGAGATCTTCGGGTTCAAATTATTATCTAAAAGAATGTTGCTGGCTTTTATATCCCTATGGATTATCCGTATCGGAGCTTCTTCGTGTAGATACAACAGTCCTCTCGCCACTCCTATAATGATTCGCCATCGATGGTCCCAGCCAAGTGAACCGGGCTTGATCTTATCTGAAAATTACAGAGAGATCAATGGTTCTACCAAACCGGTTCGAGTTGAATGAATCATGACAGAACAGAACAGAACCAATGATTCGGTACAGTTTGGTGTGGCTTGTCGGACAATTATAGAGTCGTACCAAAGAGAAAGTAGTCAAGACTCCGGTTAGGGAGATACTCGTAAACCAGCATCTTCTCAGGACCATGGAAGCAACAACCCAGTAACGAAACCAAGTTCTTATGTTGAATCCTAAGCAAGAGCTTAACCTCGTTGGTGAATTCTCTAGACCCTTGTCTCGAATCCACTGATAGCTTCTTCACTGCTATTTCTTCACCATTCGGCATCGATCCCTATTAATGTCAGTATCAAATAAATGCCCCTTTCATTTTGTTCTGTTTTTAAAACAGAGTTTTTTAAGAGTTTACCTTGTAGACAGGGCCAAATCCGCCGGTTCCGAGCCGGTTCTTCTCGGAGAAGAAATCAGTGGCAACTTCAAGTTCTTGGAGACTGAAGAAGATGCCACGGTCTCCACCATCTAAGCCATCTTCGGATGATATTTCTCCACCGGAACCGGAATGCCCACCGCACATCTTCAGCAGTGCCATCAAGCTACGGCGGACCATCTCTGGTAACGACACGTAGCTGGTTTTATTGTAAATACCTTCGAGTGAAGATGAAGAGAAGGTGAGCTAGGGATAATATTTTGAAATCCAGTTTGTGATGATTGAGGAGGTGTTTCCTAATCGTTATTGCGGAGTGGCTTATACAACGTCACATTAATGCAACGTAACACAAGTCGTTGGGTCAGTCAACGTCATTGACTCATAGCATGGACACATAACTCTACTAATACGCGTTACATTAAGTTCCGTTTTCAATTTAATTAGCTCTTTCTTTTCTTTTCTTTTTTGTGATGAAAACATTTTTTTGCTTTTAACCAATTACTGTTAAAGAAAAAAAAAATATATGAAAAGAGAAAAGATTAGTGAATACATTTGGAAAAATAGTAACTTGCGTGGGACTAAGTTTGCAAAGTCAAGGAGTCAAATCTAACCCATAAAGTCTAGTCAAAGCATGGGATCTTTTTGATTGGACGATAAAGTCGCAAAAAAGAAGGACCAAAAAAACATCTTTATCGTGAGAATTTTCCTCATATCAGTCGTGGGTCAACAACAAAGACAAAAAGAAAAGAAATATTCGATCTCTTGATAAAGCCCGTTTCAGACTCAGGCCCATTATTAGGCCCAATTAAAACCATCACATTACATCACTGAAATCGATTTAACTTGTGAACTGCAGAGTCGCCGGGAAAATTGCAGATTTGTTCGACGGCGGCTTCGCGATGAGGTTCCGGTACGCTATGGTATGTTCGTCGAATCAGAACCGGAGCATGGAAGCTCACGCTCTTCTGAAGAGGCAAGGTCTCGACGTTGCTTCGTACGGGACTGGGTCTCATGTAAAACTACCTGGACCATCGGTCAGAGAGCCTAACGTCTACGACTTTGGAACTCCTTACAAGCAGATGTTCGACGAGCTCAGGCGCAAAGATCCTGAACTGTATCCTCTTCTCGCGTTTTCTGTGATTGTTGCATATCGATCATGATTTTTCGAATCCCTAAGTTATGTTTGGTCACTGCTTCAGTGTCAATCTCCTTCTAATTTACTTACTTTATTAGGCTAGAACAACAATTATGCTATTCAAATTCCTTAAATTGTTTCCTAATTCACATCTAAGTTTCTTGGTTGAGGTTAGACATTGATTCTGGGGAAAAAATATGTTTTCTTCTCCCCAAATGTTGACAACATGACTGAATAAAAGGTGTGTGTTTTAGTAAGTATACAAAGTTCTTGCTTGTGGCTATGGTTTCTCCAATCTGTGATGCATTGCCTTGTTTGGTACTTAGAACCATGTTCATTGGGTTGTATAGGGAGACTTGTAAGCTTGAAGTTTGATACACTTAACTGTTTTCATCAGTTACAAGCGGAATGGTATATTACAGATGCTTAAGAGGAATTTATCTGTGAAGCTTGCTCCTCAAAGATGGCAAGATAATGCTGGTGATGGTGTGTTTGATGTGGTTATGACTTTTGAGGAAAAGGTTTTTGATTCTGTCCTTGAAGGTAATCTTAATCCTCCCCATTTTTCGGTTAAATACTTTGTTTCATAATTGCTTCATCCTGAGTGCTCACTAACTAAGTAGATAGATATTCATCACAAACTCTTCTAATAATGGATGAAAATTTGTGGCCACTTATCCCATTTGAAGCAAAACGAAATGTTGTGACTTTGATCTTCTACATGGGGTGTTTCCAAACAGTCTTCTCATTTGGTAAATTAATTTGAACTAGTTTGGTTAGATGTTTACATGTATGAATTAATGAAACGATTGCATTCATGGTTTGATAGAACTGTCAGTTTTCTTACTGTGTACAAGTAATACAAACATTCTTGTGTCTTAATATCTTTATCTCATCAAGTTGGATTTTGTCACAAATCTGCAGATCTTAATAACAGAGAACAGTCGCTTATGAAAACCATACTTGTGATGAACTTGGAGGTTAAAGACAACCACGAAGAAGCAGCTATAGGTGGCCGACTTGCCTTGGAACTCTGTCAAGAGATTGAAGGGAATGAAACATGGGAAGATACGATCGATGACATTGTTGCGGGTTTTGAAAAACAACACAGGCGGAAACTGGTCTACAGCATCTCATTCTACTGAAGATACCATCAGCAGTCGCATTAACGGTCAGATTATGTAGAGAGCTGTTCTGTGGCCCGAGACTTGAGATGCTAAACACATTAATAACTCATCGGTTTTATATGCTTTAGGGTTAGATATTTGAGTGTGTAGAAGAAATTGTTTGTTAGAAACCGAGAACTTTGTCTTCCAAACACCTCCCTTTTGTTTGTTTCTCCTTGCTTGAAAGTTGAAACAAAACCTTAATGAGCTGATGTTACAATACAAATCTGTTTTCTTTGTGTTTGTTTGTTTGTTTGTTGACGTCTCCAAATAAAAAAGTAATAAAAAATGTAAAAATATACTCCATCCGTTTTAGTTTAGTTGTCGTTTTAACACTTAAATTTTGTTTCATAATAGTTGTCGTTTTAGATTTTCAATGCAGATGTTTGGTAAAAATTCCAATTTTATTCTCATTGTTCTAATGTCTTGGCCAATAAAAAAAATTAGAGAATATATTATACAAAGTTAAAGTAGAAATTTTCATTATTTTCTTAGTTCTTATGCAAAAACCTTACACGACAAGTAATTTAAAACGGAGAGAGTAACAAAGAGGTGACACTAACTAGTCTTAGCCCAAGCATTACTTCATCTTTAATGTAGAGGTACCAAAATTGATGATTCGAGATTTCTTTACTGTTTGTTTTTCGTTGTTTGATTAAGTAATTCATTGTTGAGTTACGTGAATTATAATATAATTTATTGATAAGACGTGGAAATGGCATGTGCTCATATGATTTATAAGCTCATCCAGGGCCGGCCCATGGCTAAAGTCCATGAAGCAAGGGCTTTAGGCATCAAATAATTATAAGTAGTTTCAGGGCATCAATTTTAAAAATGTTACTGTGGTCTAGTGGTTAGTTTGAAGTCATTTGTTGTACAGATCACGGTTTCAAATCCCAAACATGTTAAAACTTATATTTTTTTTTCTTATAACAGTTTTTGTTAATAGGCCAAATTTTTTTGCTTTAGGCACTCAAATAGTTTGGGCCGGCGCTGAGCTCATCTAATCTCTAAACCACTAATTTATTTGTTTTAAAAAATATCTCATAATGTTAAAACTAAAACTCGAACTAATGTCTTAAAGCAACTTTTTAAGAATTTGACGCACCTTTCCATTAAGAGTTGTGCCTAGGATTATGTTCTTGTTGCCTACATCCTGCAAAAACGAATCAGACAATGGATCACCTCCCAAAAAACAGCTAGTTGCACAATAAACAGAGATCAGTCCTTAGACTCATTGTAGTGACCCATTCCAATTCCAGAATATGTTGATGCTCTCTGACCAAAGAAAGATTAGTCTGCTTCCAAGACCATTTTTTTTCTCTTGATACATCATATTATAAATATTTTGTCATATTTCTTAGTTAATATGGGATAGATAGTCTTCATCGAGACATTGCACCAAGTAAGAGATAAATGAGAAACTAATTCGAGTACACCGTTCTAATTTTGTTGTACAATTGCACGCCCAATATATCATAGCGTTCTAATTGTTTTGTACAATACACGCCCAATATATCATAACCTAAATTCTATTTCAAATTATTTAGCAATTTTTCAGAGCCATCCAGCGAGTAATAATCATATATATGAAAGTTGACTAACTCTCTCCATATGAATGTCACATCATCATACAAGAAAATGACATCTGATACTGGAGCACCGTGACATCTTTGTAGAGAGCTGAGAGGTTTAAGACATTCCTAATGAAGACATCAATCCTCAGTCCAAGACTCTTTTTGAGATAAACAATAGTTGTCCCTCCCGTGAGGGTGGCCAATAGAATATTGGCACACCATTTTACCAGCTTCTTCTCTGTTTCAACAAGTACATCTTATATCCTCAGATTGGACCAAATTCTCTCCCGGTTCTAAAAGAGGAGTACAGTTCCAAAAGAGTAGATAACATGTACAAAACAAAATTATTTTTCGGATTTCTAAGATTTTGTTGATTTCATTATATATAATAAACATTTGCATTCTCCTTTTATTTCTTTTCAGGTGGCAAGTTTTTAGTACACCAAATTCTTTGTAGTTGGCAGCATCTTTCACCAAATTTGGTGTACTCGGAATTTTTTGTTTTTTCGACACTTCGTATCTGTCATATATCTTAGTTTCGTGGGATGATTTAGTTTCTCATTTTATCTTTAAATCGAGTACAGCGTTCTTATTAAAGTCGCACGCCTATTATATCAAAATCTAATTTGAGATTTAAATTATTGAGTAATTGAAATTCTCCTAGCCATCCAGCGAGTAATAAATTATCTCAAATGAAATACACAAGAACCAGAGCCATCTCTCAATATATATAGACGTAAAATCCGATACACAAAAACCAGTTAAAATCCCATGAAATAAATATTGAACACTAACAAAACCAAAAAAAAAACCTTTATTCAAGAATCGAACTGGAGGCTCGGCACCAATTATGGAAGGCGAAGACCACTACACTATCGGAACGTTTTATATAGTATTAAAACCGCAAACAAATGGTTTATGGGTCATGGGCCGGCTCTGATTCTAATCATTCCTTTTTTTTTGTGGGCTGATTCTAATCATTCCTAGATCAGGAGAAAATCATTCTCTTCGATATAGTGAAAATTTCTTAAAAAAATTATTTTTAATTTGGATGTTTAATACTTAATATCTTTTAGTATTAAAAAGCACATTATCGATATTATTTAAATAAATTTAATCAAAAAGTACTTTTTTTTTTAACGCCAATATAAAAGTATCTCAATACTTCAAAAATGAGGTATTTAAAGAGGTATCAATGGATCTCGAAGAATAGACAATCGAAGCTCATAAATACAATGAATTTGTATATCAATGGATCATGCAAGCAAATATTTTGAAGACTTCGGTGTCGAGATTACCATCATCAGTCGCATTAACGGTCAGATTATGTAGAGAGCTGTTCTGTGGCCCGAGTCTTGAGATGTTAAACTCATTAATAACTCATCGGTTTTATATGCTTTAGGGTTAAATACTTGAGAGTGTAGAAGAAATTGCTTTGTTAGAAACTGAGAATTTGTCTTCTAAGCACATTCCTTTGTTGTTTCTTCTTGCTTGAAAGTTGAAACAGAACCTCGATGAATTTGTTTGTTTGTTGACATATAAAAAAAAGTAATAAATATAATTAGAAATATAACAAATAGGTGACACACTACATGTCTTAACCAAGCATTACTTCATGTTTAATGTCACAATCTAAGTTAACGTGTTTATATAGAACCCAATTCGTGGACCAATTGAATTAACCCTACCCCTAAAATCCTGTACAAGTCAATTTAATGTTTCTAGCTAAATCCAAATCCCGTGAGATTAGATATTTAAAGAAACCCAATGACGAAAAGTCCCTTTAAAATTCATAATCTTGACTATATAACGTCCCACGGTTCTAATTGTTAGTTTCAGCAGACTCAAAAATAATGAAGAAGAGCCAAGAAACGCAAGAAGACTCTCTACAACAAGAAAGTCGTTATCAACTTCACCAAATCTTCATATCGAAGATATTCAAATCTCATAGATTCTTCCAAGCCCTGGTCTTGTATTCGTTGCTTATCGGTTTCGGATTCGGGCTAGGCTTCATACTCAACGTCCATATAAGAAACGTCTCTTTCGATCCCCAACTCTTTCGTCTGTCTGCTCTCCCCCCCTCCCTCTCATCTTCCTTCTCTACACCGCTTCAACCGCAGCCAGAGAAAGTCGTTTCCTTGAACGATACGGTTGTTGCGACTGATGATGGTGATGAAGGGCAAAAGGGTCATTCTCTGGTGAAGCCGGAGAACGTGATGCACAACATGACGGAGGAGGAACTATTTCTACGTGCATCAAAGATTCAAGAAAAGACGTTAAAGAAGACAAAGAAAGTGGCGTTTATGTTCTTGACTAGAGGGAAACTTCCTTTGGCTAAACTGTGGGAGAGATTTTTCAAAGGCCATGATGGTCTTTTCTCTATTTACATTCATACGAGTGACCCTTTTTACGTTGACGATGATATCCCCGAAACTTCGCCGCTTTATCGCCGGAGGATTCCAAGCAAGGTCAGTCAATTTTCTCATTCCCGTCGAATTATTCAGTCTAGATAAACTTGAATATAGGCCTAGATAAACTCGCATATTTATTTTAGTCTAGATAATCTATAATTTATAATTTATAAATTATAATTCAGTCTAGATAATCTATAATTTCAGTTTCACAAAAAAAAAAGATATTTATAATTATATTTTTGAGATATTCGAATTATTCATCCTAGATAAACTTGAATTTAGATGATATTTATAATTTTTTGGGGAATTGTTTTCTATTTAAGAAATATACTTTGAAAATTGATTACCAAGAAAAAAAATATACTTTGAAAATTAGTTTGGAATAGAAGTATAATCCAAAAAAAGGGAGTGACAAAATTAACAGTGTTTAGCATTATTTAATTTTTAATATAAATTAGTTGGTTTTTTAACCATAAATGACATGGTTGGATTAATCAGCCAAAATAAAGTCGCATGCTACTAATACATATATAATCTAGTAGTTGTAAAGAAAAACATATACAGTATAATCCACTTTGAAAACTAGTGGTGCTGCATTAAAGTCTTAGAAGGGAATGACAAAATTAACGAACAGTGTTAAAATTAGCATTAGTATTATTCTTAACTTTTTCAAGTAGTAGTCATGCCTTAGCATTTTAAATTGTGATTACAAAAGAAAAGACAAGTACAGTAATATGTGACTGTAATGTTCAAGGTATAGTATACTAGTTCAAAGAAAAACGTAGATCCGTATCATTTTTTTTATTCCCTAAATACGTTTCAAACCGGCTATATTTTTATACCTTTGTTTATAAGATTAAGGTAAATTACTCTGAAAAAAAAAGAAAGGCTTGTCGAAGATATTAGAAAAGTCGAGAAGACTTTATTATATACATTTGTTTTTCTGAAGTAAGATACAATAATATCTCCTACTTATCATCATCATTCAACTAAGACACGAAGTCACGAATGAGCACTAGAGATCATACTTGACATTATTTCTTAATTGTTTAAATATATATATATATATATATATATATATATATATATATATATAATTCCACAAGGTCCAGAACCGGTCCTAACTAGAAACTAGAGAGCTAGACCAATCATGGGTTTGGGGCCACTAGCTAGTGTAGTTTTATCAATTTTAGAGACGGCTATATTTAAAAAAGAAACCAAAAAATTTGTTGGTAAATGCTTCATTTAAAAAAGTTGCTTTTTAGTTTCTTCTTATAAATCAATTATTATTGGGATGATATTTTTTTCTGTCTTGAATCACCTGGTGTCTCAGGGCCGTTCTGGGTAACACCTAGCTTGTTATCCCCCATTTAATAATATGGTTTTAAAAGTTGAATTTTAGTTCCCTTCGTATGTCTACGTATGCCTCTTAATTTCCCTTTCTATAGATATCAGTATCATCAAATTCTATATAAATATAAAATCGTTGAGTAGTCTATTATACATACGTACCGACATGGATTTTAAATTAATCAATTAAGTTGTTAACTAATAAAAATATCACGACTCATGTACGAGGATTTTGTTGTTTTTTTCTTAGGAAGTGGGATGGGGAATGGTGAGCATGGTGGAGGCTGAGCGACGGCTACTGGCAAATGCTCTGCTTGACGCCGGAAACCACCGCTTCGTCCTCCTCTCGGAATCGGACATTCCTCTCTTCAACTTCTCCACCATTTACTCTTACCTCACAAACTCTCAACACTCATACGTCGACGTATACGACCTTCCCGGACCAGCAGGTCGCGGCCGCTACAACCGCCGTATGTCACCAGTCATTAGCCGCCGCAACTGGCGAAAAGGCTCTCAGTGGTTCGAGATAGACCGTGAGGTAGCTTTAGCCGTAGTCTCGGACACAATTTACTTTCCTGTGTTCAAGAAACATTGCCTTTCGAATTGTTATTCCGACGAGCATTACTTGGCGACATTAGTCCACGTAATGTTTCCAGGGAAGAACGCGAACCGGTCACTGACGTGGACGGATTGGTCACGGAGAGGGCCACATCCAAGAAAGTACACACGGGGGTCGGTGACGGGGGAGTTTTTGCGGAGGGTGAGGAATAGAGAACAAGGGTGTGTGTATAATGGGAAGAAGAGCGAGAATTGTTACTTGTTCGCTAGGAAGTTCGATGGTGGTTGTTTGGATAAGTTGTTATATTTTGCTCATAGGGTTTTGGGATTTTAGTCTTCGTTATAACTTATAACCATAGCATACGACTCGGCCAATTTGTGTTTGGTATATAGCCCGTTTAGTTTGCTTGAATTTTAAAGTCCCATTTGTGATTACAAAACTTTTTCACATGATTCACATTTCATTTTTCACAGAAATTTTGTTCTTCTGATTGTCCAAATTCTTGATGAAAAAAAAAAAAAAAATTGTCCAAATTCTTCTACGTATACCAATACGTTTCAGCCCATTTGTGTTTAGTAAGGCCCATTTATGTATTTCGAATCTGAATGCCCAATTTTTGTTACAAAACTTGTCCTTTTCTTTCCGACGACATTTACGATCTATATATTAATTCGGAAGTGACAGTCACATTAGAACTTTAGAAGGATTAAGTTAATCAATTTGGAAGATACATACAAGTATACAACCAGAAAACAAAATTATATTAAGAAGTCCAAAATTTGCATATGTTTTTTCCCACAGTTATGTTTGTAATCTTTCCATGTAAAATGTCTATTTCAATTCAATCCTTGCAATCTCCTTTAAAGCATACCGAACAAAATCCCATGCTCCATACATTTTGTAATGCTTTCAAAAGTGTCTTCGCTTCTGTTTCAAGTAGTGACGTGACGGTCTCTAAGTTTGCCGACCCCCAAATATACTTTGTGTTTCTTTCTTGGTCCCGAATCCCGAACAATTCACCCAACAATAGCTTGAAGCGAGTGTAGCCATCCTTGTATAGGCCAACTCCATGATGCATGCTTGATGACAAAACTTGTTTAGTTGTTTATCTTCTTCTTTTTCACATCCGAAAACTTCTTCGTCTTCTTATTATAATATACGTAAACAATGTTTCTATTAGGGTCTTAGGGATGAGTTTTCAAAATTTGTCAGATAGTTTTTTTTTTTTTTTAACCAATAGTTGATTCAGACTTTTACCAATCGACTAATTCCCATGGTGATTTTAGCTGTCGAGTAGCCATTCACCAAATTTTCTAATGAACTTAAATCATGTCACTATTTCGACTAGCCAACTAGAGGTAATTAGATAATTTGTCATTTAGTTGTCATGATAACTATATAAGTGATGTTTATTACTCATTAGAGAATGTCATTTATATCGAATTATGGTTAGTTCGTTGAGAGTGGTCAGATTGCTATGAAGATTTTCAAAATTTTGTATACCGGATCTAAAGATCGGTTTACTGTCGCGGTAATGTTTCATATGAAAGTGTTCATGGTGGTTTTTTTAGTAGGTGGATAAGACTTTCGTGTTTACTAAATAATTTTATTTTGTAAATATATAGAGTTACCAAAATTTATGATTTGACAATTTATTAATCCTTACGATTGTTTTTTCGTTGTTTGATTAGGTGATTCGTTGTTCAATTACGCGACTTACCTAATAGTATGAATGATTGTTTATTGATAAGATTTAGAGATGGCTCGAGCTCATATAAACTAAGCCACGCACTGATGTCGAAAAACTTTATTAAAATTTAGTAGCTAATAATTGCTTACTCACACGGCCGTTTTGTCCCGTACGCGGCCGTTTTATTTTGCGAATTAAAGTACTAAATTATGTTTAAAAAATTAGACTGAAACTGAAACTAAAATCTCCAGCCAGCATATGATTTTGTGGACAAAATGTTTACTTAAGATAATCTACTTTTGGTGGACAATTATGCATAGAACATATGTAAAATTATATCACTATCATGTTTTAGATTCTACAAATACATACAGAAATATTACACACACATACATACATTATACATATATAATTAGATATATAAAGAATGTTGCTTAGTCAATACTCAATAGTAACAATTTTTTTTGCAAAAGGCTGCTTCCAAGAAAAAAAGGCAGTCCTATATCTTTTAACTTGACTTTTAATATCATTACAAAGTTATAAAATGGTTTACTCATATCATAATTATTTAAAAGTTAAATTAGTATGAAAAAGGTACAAATTAACACACTCAGAAAGAAAAAAAAAATCTATAATGTTCTTGAGTTGGCCACCCCTAAAAGTGGATGGCAATTCATGTTTAGATTCTATCAAAACTGAATAGATGTTTCTTACTCTGTATGAGATAATAATAACATCGTGACAAAGACTATGTGACAATGGTAACAATACCATACAATTTATCATGGAGGCAAAGCATTACAATTTTATCACGCTACCAAATATATTTTGAAGTTAAAACAAAAAACATACTAAAGTTAATCAAAAGCAAGATTTTCGATAGAGACTAAACAGAGTCGATTGAAGCAAAAGAACGACAAGTTTTGAGAGGATGATTGAGATTTGAATGAAACCCACCCGACAAGAAATTACCCGAAAAGAACAAATCAATTCAATGAACCTTCGTCGAAATCATTCACTTGACCCCCCTTTATATAGTATACTTTATATTAACACATAAGAACTTGGATATTGTTAATTTTCTTTAACGCAATACATTTCTATATCAGACAAAAACCATTGTTTGTTTTCTCTTCTGCTTTAATAATAGCTATTAAATTATTAGGATAATCTTGGAGAACGATGTAAACCAAAAAAAGGTTATTATCAGACTTTTTTTTTTGAAAAAGGTTTATTATCAGACTTTCTTTCCTTCTTTTTATTTGCTTAAAAGATTAGTTCAATAAAATTATCTATATAAAAGAGGTTTGTGTTATAAACCATATGGATGGACTCCATAACCGACTTATGGTCCATTAGGGTTTTACCTTATTCTATGTATCCTGCTATTATCATTGTATATATATATATTCTTTATTCTATTAATGAGAGGACACAGTTCACAACAAGTTTCGTAAAATAGAAAGTTTCCATATAAGGAAAGTTTCCATAAATAGAAAATTCTACACATAAAACCGAAACCCTTGAAAAAACCCTAGTACTATAAATCGCGGATGCTAAAACCCTAAAACTTAACCGTGAAATCCTAATATCCTAATCTAGTATGATCCGATTGTTTGGTTGTTGCATACTAGATCAATCTTCTAGGGTTGATTTCATCCATATATATATATATAACATGATTGTTTAGAAAACACTTGCTGAAGACAAGCATGGCTCGGTCTCAAATACCGCATGACTTGGTCTAACCGATTACATGAGTTCTCATTTAACTCTATATATTATAGATATCAGAAATCAACTATTATGAATACACGGCACTCAATGCCTCTGGTGACAATTATTTAAAATGGGCTTTGGACACTAAGATTGTCCTAAAGGAAAAAGGGCTTGGTGAATCTATTATGGAAGGAAACAATGTCACCAGAAGAGAAAGATATAAGGCGATTACTAACATACGCCATCACCTCAATGAGAGTCTTAAAATCAGTACCTCACTATTAAGATTCGATCGAAAGAATCTCAGATTCCAGGAATTCAAATCCATGAATGAGTATAACTCAGCACTATTTAAAATAGTGTCAATACTGAGATTCCGTGGTGAGGAAGTTACTGAGAATGACTTGCTAGAGAAAGCATTCTCGACCTTTCACACAGACAATATATTGCCTCAGCAACAATATCGTGAAAAAGGTTTTTTACCACATATGCAAGTCTAAACTCTTGTTTTTGGGGAGGACTCCTCTGTAGAGAGTGCTAAGGAGTGAGGCTTTGGAGAAACCGTGATGAGAACATTGATTCTGATATGCTACTTGCTGAGCAAAACAATGAGTTATAAATAGTGAAATGAGACCTCCTGGTCCTACCCCATTATCAGAAGCCCGTTGGGCTGAAGAGCCTAAAGAGCCTAAAGAGACTAAAGAGTCTAACCACGTCCAAAGAGATAAGTATCATGGCCACAGTCATGGTAAATGGAATGGACGTGGTAGAAGTGGAAATTATAATTTATATGATCAAGGAAACCATTCATATGGTTAAGGCCACCGACCCGACTTTGGTCGTAATCGAGGTAGGCCACGGTATACCCAAACCACATTCACTCAAATAAACTTGTTTGCCACTGATGAGGAATGGGGAAACCATTGGACTAAGACGTGCATGACACCTAAGCATCTCGTTGATCTCTATCAAGAGAGTTTGAAAAGAATCAAGAAGCTCATTTAGTTCATCACGATGGTGAAGAAGATTTCGACCATGAGATAGATGATTATGAGAATTCAATAAACGAAATATCTAAAGACATGGTTCATTAGCCAAATTGCGGGTATAGCTAAATTTAGTGAAGGCTAAGGGTAGGCCCATGGCAGGCCCATATTCCCAAGGGCACGCATCCTCTGATGCTTCATATTCACCTAGCTCAAAGGGGCTTGTTGAGTTTCAAAGAAATGTGTTTGAATGGTTTCCACATTGAAACTAAGGGTGAAGGGAACAAAGGATTCCCATATATTACTAAGAGCACCCAAGACCATGAGAAGGTCTTAGAGACTATACCCGCGTCATAGACCTTTACTATGCCAAGGTCAATATGATAGAGGCTAATACAGTAAACAAAAGGGTTTACTGAGAAATTCACTAATGGCATGACCGGCTTGGCCAGCCTGGTTCTAACATGATGCGTAAAGCTGATATTAAAATCAAAAGGGCACACTCCTTAAGGACCTCACGTGTGCAGCATGTACACAAGGGAAACCCATACTAAGGTCATCACCAGTCAAAGCAACTAGAAACTTGGTGTTTGCTAGATTGCTGGCCCAGACCATAAGTCTGTGAGCCCACATACTTAAGACTATATGTCTAGATAATGCTGGTAAATTATGTCTAAAGCATTTTATGGCTACAGTATGTCCATGAGGGGGAGAGTAGTATAACCTGTGGCACATGTCCATACTTGAACTGACAGTAGCTGCTTGGGGACACACAATATTACATGCAACAAGAGCTTATACGCATCAGGCCATTCTAGTGAGCATAGATATTCCCCATCCCAATTGCTAACGGGTCATGAGCCAGACGTTTCCCATCTTAAGACATTTGGGTGTTCAGTCTATGTACCCATTGCACCACCACAGAGAGCAAATGATGAGACCTCAAAAGGGGATGGGAATATACGTTAAAAATGATTCTCTCACCATCATTAAGTATCTCGAGCCAAAGGCCATATACAAGGATTGTCATCTCAAT